GAACTAATGAACTGAAATGGAGTTGATATCCTACTCTTCTGTATCTTATAGAACTAATGAAATGAAATTGAGTTTATACCCTACTGTTCTGTATCTTATAGAACTATCGAACTGAAATGGAGTTTATATCCTACTGTTCTGTATCTTATTGAACTAATGAACTGAAATGTTGTTATATATCCTACTGTTCTGTATCTAATTGGACTAATGAAATGAAATTGAGTTTTATATCCTACTGTTCTGTATCTTATAGAACTATCGAACTGAAATGGAGTTTTATATCCTACTGTTCTGTATCTTATAGAACTAATGAACTGAAATGGAGTTTGATATCCTACTGTTCTGTATCTTATTGGACTAATGAAATAGAGTTTTATATCCTACTGTTCTGTATCTTATTGGACTAATGAAATAGAGCTTTATATCCTACTGTTCTGTATCTTATAGAACTAATGAAATGAAATAAAGTTTTATATCCTACTGTTCTGTATCTTATTGGACTAATGAGATGGAGTTTTATATCCTACTGTTCTGTATCTTATTGGACTAATGAGATGGAGTTTTATATCCTACTGTACTGTATCTTATTGGACTAATGAGATGGAGTTTTATATCCTACTGTTCTGTATCTTATTGGACTAATGAGATGGAGTTTTATATCCTACTGTTCTGTATCTTATTGGACTAATGAAATGGAGTTTTATATCCTACTGTTCTGTATCTTATTGGACTAATGAAATGAAATGGAGTTTTATATACTACTGTTCTGTATCTTATTGGACTAATGAAATGAAATGGAGTTTTATATCCTACTGTTCTGTATCTTATTGGACTAATGAAATGAGATGGAGTTTTATATCCTACTGTTCTGTATCTTATTGAACTAATGAAATGAAATGTAGTTTTATATCCTACTGTTCTGTATCTTATTAGACTAATGAAATGAAATGGAGTTTTATATCCTACTGTTCTGTATTTTATTGGACTAATGAAATGAAATGGAGTTTTATATACTACTGTTCTGTATCTTATTGGACTAATGAAATGAAATGGAGTTTTATATCCTACTGTTCTGTATTTTATTGGACTAATGAAATGAAATGGAGTTTTATATCCTACTGTTCTTTATTTTATTGGACTAATGAAATGAAATGGAGTTTTATATACTACTGTTCTGTATCTTATTGGACTAATGAAATGAAATGGAGTTTTATATCCTACTGTTCTGTATCTTATTGGACTAATGAAATGAGATGGAGTTTTATATCCTACTGTGATTTTAGTCTTGAATATGAGTAAAAAGTCTTAAGAAGTATTAGAAATGTATGAAAATAATTCCTTTAGAAATATCTCAATATCATCACTTTAAAATTGATTATTGATTATTGATATTGATGATTGATTATTAATATTGATTATTGTTATTGATTATTGATAATTGATTATTGATATTGATTATTGATATTGATTATTGATATTGATTATTGATATAAAACTGACCTGAATGCTGGGATCTTTAAGATGAGACATCAGTGGTCGTTCAAACTCTTCGATTTTCTCCCCTAGATTATGATCCAAGATGCCACGAACTAGTTTATATTGCTGAA